TTTTTTCTGCCTACGATTTTTAACTTTTCTCGCTGATGTCAATTTCGAGCAGTTTAATCGTTTAGAAATCAGACAGATCTCATTTATTATACGCGCCGACGATTTATCGCTCGATGCATCTTGTTCGAGTTGTAGCGGCAACTGTGAGTAACGCGCCATCGTGACGCAACGTTCGATGAAGACTGAATGTCACAGTGACGACAATGTCGCGTTATTACAGCAGTGCTAACAATCAACGTCACGTAAAAACGGGCGCGATTCACTTTCGGAAAACGATATCGCGTGTGATTCCACACGAGGGTGAGAGGGAGGGAGGGAGGGAAGGTTGAAATCGACTGAACCGCATTCATCACCTACTTTCGTAGATTTTTAGTCTCGCGCGTTTGACCAATGGAAATATCAAAGTGTAAATACACAGGATGTATCGTGGCATTACCGCCTTGATATTTCTATTCCTCGATTTAACCTTCTAATTATATCTTTATCTGCTTGCATAACGATGATGTAATTAATTGCACTTAATTGACGCGACGTGAAGGGTACGAGGAAAGAAATACATGCTGGACGAAGACATGTAAATTTGAATTTCAATCCTGCAGTTTTATACCGTGTTAATTGAATAGAGGGAGAGGAGAAATAATCGAGGTAGATATCGTGACATTCTCAGTTCCTCTTGTATATTTCGGTTCAATTAATTCTGCGACTTTATTATCTTCGTCTCTCGCGTAACATTATCAATAAAGATCCCCGACGTAATAATGCGACATCCAGAAAAATCAAAGCGAGAACGAAAGTAACAGATTGATAAACACTTAATTGGCCCGATGATCGCGATTAACGTAACACTTCCATAACAAAACTCTCGCTCTCTTTTGCATGCGTCGCTAATTTAAAGTTAACTTGTCCAATTAATTTGACATTTATCTGATCAAAGGTCAAACATGCGTTGTGTTCCGTCTTCTTTTTTCCCCGCCGTATAAATTTCGACCTCCTCAAGAGCATCGATTGGTTGCTTAGTACCGTCGCTCTGCTGACTACGATTATCTCGTAACTACCTGTGTATCTATACATACATGTACGGTGCACGCAGTTCGTAACTATTTCAATGAATTTTACATCTTCCGCGGCGCAGCCGAACCGACATACACGCGAGGAAATCACGCGTCGTGCCGTTCGAAGGAGGAAGATCCGCCGTGCTACCTGCGCCTGAAACTGCCCTGGCAGGCACAAAGAAACGAGTAGTCGCGAGGCCGAGCCAAGAAGTATACATGCGAGAAGAGAGAGAGGAGAGAAGAGAAAAGAAGAGAAGAGCAAAAGAGAGGAAAGAGAACGGCGGGTCAGCAAGAGATCTCGGGAGAATTACGCGCCCGATCGAGACACGTAAAAGACGAGACAAGGGAAAAAGCATCGACGACTTGAAAGCGAGCGAGCGAGCAAGAAAGAAAGTAAGAAAGGAAAAAAAGAGAAAGATCATCGATGCGTTACGTAGGAAAATATACATATAGTCGATCCTTTGCTGTCTTTCTTGTTCCCCTCCCCTCCTTCTTTCTCTCTCTCTCCCTGCGCATCTACTACTTTATGTTTCGCAACGTTTTTTTAACCTTCTTTGAATGACCAAACAAGTTTAGACGACGATATAATAGCCGGAACGTCGATTAAGCGTAAATGTATAATGTATGTTTGTATCTCGTTGAAACGTTAATCGGATAACAGACCATCGCGACGTATATCGAAAAGCCACGTGTATGAATTAATTCCCGGACGTGATAAAAATTTTTTTCAACCAAGGCCGTGGAACGATCCACTCTGTTGTTTATGGCAAAATTTCGCGGAGCGATTAAAGAACAATCGGGAAGCCGTAAGAAACATAGGATGAATAAAATAGCACGTTTTTTTTTGTTTTAAAGTTTCGGAACAAGAACCCATTTTTCTCCTATTTTTTCGCGGGATTCCTCGGTTTCCGCACTCAACGATGAAAAGATTGGTTTAGAAAAATTCACGCGTGCACTGGTTACATTAATTTTTCTCCATAAGGGGGAAACCAGAAAATTTTGAAAGAGAGCGGTTTTTCCCCGAAACTTTAAAACTATATATTTTTTATCGTTTTAATTTCAACAGATTTCCCGCAGAAAAGGACCGCTTTAAAATATCGTCACGCGCGAGCCCACCCTGCCGCCCGCGCATATCTCGCCTCCTCTGTCCGCAATTTCCATTTCGCGCACACGCACCTATCGTTACGATACCGCTGCGTTTTTTCCATACGATTTTTGTTTAGTCATACTCGCATTCTGCGACCGGGGCTTACCCCGAATAATAAATAGTGTCCCTTCCTCTCTCGTGCCTCGCTTTCGTGCGTCTCGATCAGCCTCTGTCCTTCTCCACCGCGACCCACCTCGCTCGCTCCGTCTAACCCACCGGCAGACGGCTGTCACTGTTCCACTTTACGGGAGCGCGATTTCCCGAGATATCCTCTACCTACTATATACCACTATACGCCACCTCCCTCTCGCTCGCTCGGCCGCTCCGTCCTTCTCTCGACTACTCTCCGCGGTATGCCAACCTTCCACTCCACCATGTTTCTCTCGCGTGCTCGCACGAAGCGGCAGGAGGTGGTGGAGGATCCGCGCTGTGGCCCCCACGGACGCCCACGAGCACGTATACAGGCAGTTTCAGGAGGACAGGTCGATACTTCAGGAGGTGATGCTGCCCTATCGCGGGGTCGACGGCAACGTTCAGCAGACTCGCTTCTTCCCTCACTGGAGAATTCAAAATTCTCACAAGCCGCCGGCGACGGTTTCCTCCCTTTTTTAAACTAAGATCGTTATTACGAGAGAAGAGTATGACGTCAGGCGCACGGAATCTTTCTCCAGGAGGCAATTCGACTCCTGGCCGAAGTTTGGCTCGCCTGCGGTAGTCAGTTGCACGTAGCACAAAAACTGCAGGTATCGCGACCTTTAACAAAGGCAACATCGATTCCGAACTCATCATCGATCTGTCTTCAAGAATAAGCCAGCGGAGTTTTATATATGCACGACACATGTATATAGAAATTCAAACGTAACATAAAATGCAAATCATTTTTTCACCATCAGTGTTTATACGGACCCTGACCTTTCTCCGGACTTGAGAATTCATATTGTCGTTATATCAAATCGCGCAATGCCATGAATATTAACAGGAAATATTAGTATGTCAACAACTGTCGCGTGAATATTTAACCCTTAGCTGACACACGGGGTTAAAAATACCCCAGAGTGTTTTTGAACGCAAATTTTTCATAGCTGCGCGCCAAATTTGGTTCTTTGACGTCACCTAGTATTAGTCGAGGCTTGACCCAATATTGATAAATAAAACAATTATACACATTTTTTCTCGCTGGGGTCCAAAATACCCCCTATAGCATGTACGTTATTATTTTGACAGCTAAGGGTTAAGTATACGTCAAATGTGCGCGCGTCTCGAGTATTGTCGGCGAAGCAACCGAATAGTAATCGGGAAAAGTGCGCGTCGACGAAACTGAAAAATCCACGGAGACCCGATAAGATAAACCAAATACGACGTTGCCACGAATAAGCAGGTTTCTAGAAACACGCATCCATTCCGATCGACTCCTCTCGACGAATTAGAACCGTTCGAACCTAAAAATACGATACTCCAATATGATATACCAATATAGTGAGTGTGATAACGAGGATAGAGACCTCCGCTCCTGAAATACCCGGTACACACCGGTATACCGGGTATATATGCATCGTACAGCCGTTCTTTAGCTCTCTCTCTCAGGCGCTCCTGTATCTCCCTCTCTCCTTCTTTCCGACGCACGTCCAAAAGTGCACCAGCAGAAGGACGAGCCCGCAGCACATTCGCTCTCTACCCCGGCTCTATTCTACCTCTTCTCTCCACTCCGCCCTGCCCCCCCCCCCCCC